AGTTCCCAACGCTTCATTGACATTATCTGTAACGTTCAACCGCGGTTCTCCGCAGAGAAGTAACATCAGAAAGCCAACTTTTACCTCTTTTTCTTTGACTCCAAACTCCCTGAGCAAGTTTCTGGCATCAATCAAGGACAACTTTCTCAAATCTGAATCGGTTCCATAAACCTTCCTTTTCAGAGTATTCGGAAGATCATCATGAAACTAAAACAGAGGCTGTTACTTTTTCAAACAGGAGTTTGCAAGATAATCTACGTCAAATATATAACTTGCTTATCATAACAAGCTCCGCATGAGTCCCACAGCATCGTTTCGTTGTGGAACGTTCGCAACGACTGAGGTAAACTATTACACGAGAGCGCGAAGCGCAGTATAGCGAACTCTCTCCAGTCGCTATCTTAGCCGTAAAAACTAAGATCTGTCATCCTCCCCATGAGGTAATGGCTGTCAGGATTTGCGGAAAACTGACCGTTAATGCCATCTCAGATTTAAAGTCTGCAAATATTCTCTGGAAACATCAAACGATCATTACTAGTCAACACAGTAATGGCAACAAGAATCATTATTAAGAAATATTTTTTGTATGCAATTATGACATGTAAACCTGGAAAACGACGTTTTAGTTATTCCGCTTGGTAAGAGCTTTTCGAAGTAAAGCATGCTGTTATGTTGGAAATATATTGGATAAAAATTTAATGATAAAACGACGTGGATTCATGCTACAGACAGGGCATTGTTAACCGAACAAACGAAGAGATTTCACATTTATGTAGAACATTAACGTTAATGTTTTCGGAATGACGGCCAACCTTCATTTTTATGACTGGGCCGTTTTGGTGATCTTCTTTTCATGATGGCACGATGCTGATCTGCGCTGTATGTCAGTCAGGAGTGCTTTATTTCAAAGGCAGAGTGTACAACCATGTGGCAAACGCAGTGTGTAACCTTCGGTTTTCTTCCCATAAAGTGATACTCATTCAGTCTCAGAAGGAAGAAGGGCGAGAGACCCAGAAACATGCGTTAATGCCACAAAGCAGTGGCTTTCTTATCGTTCTTCGAAACCCCTAAACGAAAATAACCCGTGCATCTATGCTATACAACTATCCAGTTATCCCATGGAAGATGCATTTTGCTAGTATACTTGTAGTCATACAGAAAAAACAACACAATACGAGTCACATCTATGAGGCAGTGATTTATTATCACCCGACAGGGCAATGTGTACAAACTGTCGTCTTTGTTATTTTTTAGTAATAACTTAGCATTCATGAGGCTAATATCTTGCTTAGAAAAAGTAGCAGTGACCCTATATTTATGCCACAGATGCTCTTTAGGACTTTGGTATGAACCAGCAGGAGTAAGTGCAAAGTAATTATTGCGTATGGAATGTGAATTACCGAAGTTCATTTCCAAATTTAGGTAATTGTATTTTTAAGTTGTAAAGTAAACACTATTTACAATGTAATTTTCAAAAGATTAAAATAATAATTTACCGCAAACTAACAGATCAGTGAAAATTTATAAAGACAAATTGAACATCAAACAAAATTTCTTAGAAGGTACAGGAAGATACTTCACAAATTTAGCTGATTTTACACCTGATGTTGAGGGTACAGGTGAGGTGAACGCTAATTAACTCCCATGAGGCTTTGAAGCTCTGCTAACGGTCAAGAGTTTTTTCAGGGTGGTTCAATCCAGTGCCAAAATCGCTGTCAAGTACTGACAAAATTCTAGCAGACTTCAGCTTAAAGAGAGTCGGCTTAGATTTCTCCTGGCACATCATATTCGACTGTCACACAGTCTTCATTGTCAAGTTTCTCTCCATGCTTACGCAGCACTTTTAGACATAGTCGCCGTCAGGTTTCTGCTCGACCATGACAGTGACGCAACATTGAGCGCATGCACTGCATGTGCTATAATAATTTGGAGCCTTGGCCTCCTTAAGGGGTCCCACAGCCGTTCGAGGCAACGAGACGGTGTGGCAATATATCAAACAGTTAAGGGGTTAAGCTAAGGCACCGCGTCAATGCACACAGTAGTAAACACCCTCACTGACAAGTACAAGTCCAATAAGCCAAGCAAAGAGACGAGCATTCGTTTGCCGATCCATCGTTTAAGGTAACAGTTAAAATGAACGATGTAAAATTCTATGTACAGGATGCAAAATTCTATATTTATCGATGAGTTTCGTCGCCTCGTGAAAAATCACGGTAATTAACGTGATAATGAAATGTTGGTATGGGGCATCGAAACGCATCAGCAGTGTAAACGATTTGACAGTTTTACACACTATCTTTGTTAACTGTTGCCTTAAACTATGAACTGGGATCGTTATACAAAGAGGAAAAGAATCGATATTTCTACATATAACTACTAAAAGACAACAGTAGTAAACAGATTTCGATACAGTAACGTGTATCGGCTAAACATAACTGATAAGGAAGAATAGAATTCTGGTGACAAAATG